AAAAAAAAGAAACAGAAATAAAATAGAGATTAAATAAATTCAGAAACTAAAGGGGGAAGAGAACAGACACTGAGGAAATACAGAGAACCATAAAAAACTTTTTAAAAATGTTCCACCAAATTGTAAAATCTATAATAAACAGGCATTTTTCTCAATATTATTTGCATTCTAGAACCTGCCCTGCCAGTCAGTGTGAGAGTGTTCAGATGAGTGTGGACTGATGAGACTACTTCAGTGGATTTGGTCTACAGTGAAGAGAGAAAAAAAGTAGGATAAGTCTTTACTGTGGTTGATGATGTGTCCTATTTTGTATCTGAGATGAGGCACATAGGGCTAGTGTTCTCATGTGCAAATGATTGTCAATTTAATAATAAATATCTAAGTATTGTATGACATCTGGCATTGTGATGAATTATCCTGGGGCCTAAGATGTGTGAATAGAACAATGTGACAAAAAGACTCTTTCATAGGAAGACAGAAAATTCACATTTTATGGAGCATGAAAATAAAAATTCCACTTGTCCATTTACAGCATTGTATCCAGTTTTGTTCTGTTTGGTATAATTATTATTTTTTATTTTTAATTTTTTTATTTTTTTAAATTAATATACAGCATAAAGAACTTTATTCAGGCAATTCCCATATGTGTAGCGTGTCTCTTTTTGGTATTCCTCTCACCCACATCAGTTGCTTATCTTACTATTCATTCCATTCCTCAATGTAAGAAGTTTTCTTCTGACTTCATGATTTGTTTGAGCATATTGAATTAATGAGACAAGAGTGATATTTTCTTTATCCTAACTTCACATGGTTCCCAATCCCTAGTTATTTAAGCCCTTAAATTCTCAAATAATTCCTCTCCTACTTTGATTGTTTTCATGCATGTACACACATATGCACACATAAACTCACAATCATACACATAAATACACACACACACACACACACACACACACACACACACACACACTTATATCTAGAGTCTGAAAAGTCTGAATTACCACAGACCATCTGTTTAGGTAACATGATGACATCCTAATTCATCCCCAATTCCTACTAGTGACAGCATTTAATTCTTGCAGACCAAAGACAACTCCATTATATCTAAATAAATCCTATGTGACTTTCCTCTGAATTCTATTATGTCTAGAGAAGTCTAGATCCAATAATCATATTTGTAAAACTTCGTAATTTGTTTCAGTCATTTAGGAATTACATAGAATCTATTTATTTAAACCTTTTTAAAATCCATGTACACGGTATAGTTAAAAATCACTGGGTATATATTTATGTATGGTAATTCATGATAAAAAAACTTTCAAACTTCTAAGAATGCATTGCAAACAGCAGTCATGAATCTTCATATAAAAGTAAAATTATAAAATTTTAGCTGGTTTTATTTATTCTTTCATCTGTGGACAGGCATCAAGGGTGCTTCCATATCTAAAAAAATTGAATAACAATGAAATAAATATTGGCAGACAAGTCTCTGTTATCTACACTTACTTATGTATTTTCAGAAGGTTCCATGAGAGATGTGGTTGGAGCATAATGTAGTCCTACATTTAGTGACTGAAATAGCATTCCTACATGCTTATTAATTTATTTGGTAATATTTTGCCCATTCTTTCTCAAAGTGATAGAGATTACTCTCTTAACTATCACTTTTCATTTTAATAACCAAAACAGTTGTGTATATTTTGTACTCATGTTGTCTTTTTCAATTTGAAAATAATTAAAGTTAAAATCAAACACTGGTGATAAAGATATCAGCCTACTATTTTTTTAATGTTGGCTATGGACTTGCATTGGTGAAATTATTAAGGCCACTGCACATAGTTAAAAGGGAGGTTTATTTAGTGGTGTAACTTACAAGTGAAGGGATAGGTGGGTTACAGGGTCTGAGAAAGGTATGTCGCAGTCCGGCGGTGTTCTCTGGAAAACTCTGCTCGTTCTACCTCCAGTGTCCAGTGTCCAGGATCCAGGAACCAAGAAATACAGCACATCCAGATCTCGGTCTTTAGGGTCCTCTCTTGTCCCTGCAAACAATATCAGAGGTCTAGAAAATGTTATAAGAACAATTTTCACATTAAACACAGGGTCACTTCCCATTTTCTATTTGCTTATAAGATGCTCAAAACAGACTTCTTCACAACCACTACTGGGCTGTAAAATGAGCAAAAACAACATATGAAATCAAAGATAAAACAAAAGAAATGGGTCAACACAAGGAATTGAACTATTAGAACTGAGGCATGGGGATGGAGATGATGTTTTAGAAATCAAATATTTACTTCATTTTCTCTTTAATAATGATTAGTTTGGAGGATCAGTTAGAGATCTTATTTAGTATTTGAAATATAGGACAGAAGATTTCTTTGGAATTTGTTAAATATTTAAAAACAACGTTATTATTATGTAAGTGTAACAGTGCCTTTATGATGAGCTGGATAGATATAAAACAGTAAGCTTCAGGAAATTTTGGAATTTTGCCTGATTATTTGTTCTCAACACAGTGGAAGCACAGGATTTGGTTAGATATTCTGTAGCTGTTGCTGGTGTAGCATAGGTCGCACACTGCATGCTGTGTGGAACTCAATTACTCTAAAAATGGAGCTGTTTTTCCTTGACAGGGATATCATAATACAATTCCAGGTGAGTAACAGGGGATGATGTCTTTGTGAGTCCTTCCTGAATCATTATGGCAGGTCTCAATGTGAAACATCTGCAAAATCTACTGACATAATTTTTGAAGACATTAAAACAAACAGATTGTTTAAACAGTCCTGGGATCATATTTTCCCAAAATGTCATCCTCTGAAGATCCTTAATTTTCACAACTATGAGTGATGTCATGATACTAGCTGAACCCCCTCATATATATTAATCAACCAAATTTAATTACATAAACATCAGATGCAGAGCCCCAGGGAAGACAGTGTCCAAGATTCCTACAGCACGGGGGAGGATCCATCTGGAAAAAAGGAATCATGACTCATAAGTAAACTCTCCTTTGGCTACAGAGAAAAAGCAGGTGGGAATATATGTATGCCTATTAATGTGCTAATTTTAATAGCACTTCACAAAAAATACTGACCAGGCTTCTAGTAGGACAAAGATGTTCACTTTGATTTTTCTGTTCTTGCTCCTGAACATTCCACTTCTTGTGTCCAGTATCATTCAGCCCAGATGCTTTTGGAGAATGAAGCAGAATAATGACAAGGATGGAGATTTGTTGACAGGTTGTATCTTCTTCCTTTTAAGAGTGCAGTGGCCTATGGAGAAAGACTATTTCAACCACATTCTTAATACTCAGTAAGTTCCTTTATATTTTCTATGTAAATGACATAATGAGTACTTTATTGGGGGTAGGATTATGAGAGTCAGAACAATGCTTTGAGTATTTGGCCTGATACCCAATCTGAAAACTAGTAAATAACCTCAAGTTCTTTTAGAGACTCAGTGCTATTTTTCTACTTTTAATTTGTCCAGAGAGTGTTCTATTATTCCCCGAGTTATTCTACTGCTTAAAAGGCTAGAAGCTGAGTGAAGGACTCTATATCTTGTGCCATCACATATAGCCCTTCTCTTCACAGTTTCCACAGCACAGTAGCTGGTGGTGTCTTATTGAAGGAAACCCCACACTATTCAAAGAGTGTCATTCTATATGTGTGTAACTAAATGACTGTCAAATAGAGTCTGTAATAACCCTTTGATCAGTATGTCACTCCTAATGCATGTACTGGGACAACTAATATTTGCAGCAACCCTAGCTCCAGAGACTTTTTGCATGTATATTCAGTTACACTCTCAGATGCTCTGCATGTGGTCACATTGTGCCTTCTAAAGCTTCATCAAGAATGAGGTAGGAGACCTGCCCACTGTAAACTTCAGATGTGTTTCTGTTTCTCCATACTTCACTTATATATGTATATAACTATTGGACTTTGATTTCAAAGTCTAGTTATTCACTGTCTCTATAGAGCAAAGAAAGAATGTGTGGACTCTAAAAGATAAAATTGCATTCTTTGAAGTGTAAAGCTGTCAATAACATGGTGACTACTTACTCTCTTTGTCACTTTCCTGAGTAAGAGCTGTGGGATGTGATACTTGGCAACACTTGAGAAGCCACCTACCAGTTCATCTTTGCCATTGTTTAAAAAGAATGTGTCTCTTCACTTTACGTCTTAGCTTTTTTTCTCTGACACTTATATCACACTAACCTCATATGTTTCTCTTTCTGTAATTTTATTAATGCTAGCTACGTATTTTACCAATTTGTGCACAATACACACTTTGATTTTGTGTATTGCTGATAGTTGTTTTCCAACATAACTCTTTAGTCCAGTAGGCTACTCTAACTGCTCAAGGCATTCATGTTTCTTAATGTTTAGTATGGAGAAGTTAGTTTTTGAGATTCATAAGTTATAATCTCAAGTTCCTGTTAACTGTTGCTGAAAATTTCAATGACATTTTCCCATGTGGTAATAAAGAATATTCTAAAATGTTTTTAATCCAAAATGTATATATAAATATATTTATACATAAAGATACCATACTGGTACAATTTCTATGTGGAAAACAGATTGTGTTTAACTCTGAGAGAATCATTCAGAATGAATGAGTATATTTGTTTGAGTTTGATTTTTATTGGTCAGATGATACAAAATGAGTAAGAAGACATGGAAGTTATTATTTTTCCCAAAAATATAATCATAAAATGCAATTGTTCTACTCCTACTAACTGGTTAACAATTTTTGTTTTCAAAATTCATTAATATTTCCCATACAGCATACACTTTATTTATTATTTTATTTTACAAACATGTAATACTGGCACCAACAATTCTCACTGCTATTTCTAGATTTCCCTAGTTCTCAATACAATGCTAGTTTTGTGTATTTGTAACTGAAACATATATAAACGGTTCTCTCAATAAGAAAATTTATGTTTGATAGATATACTAAGTATATTTACATTGAACATACTTCTCTAAACATAATATAAGTGAACAATACTGGGCACATGCACTTAATCTCTCCATTTAGGAAAGAGCAGGGTTATTTCTGTGAATTTGAGGCCAGCCCATTTTACAGCCAAATGTCATTCAAAACTATGGAATCCATGGCTTTTTTATGGCCTCAAGAAGTGTTTCTCATGTCCACACACACAGAAACATATATTTACCAAATACACTCTGGTATTTAAATTTACTTAAAAATAAATCTTCTGAAAAATCATTTTGGCCTCCAACAGATAAACCAGAAAGAAAAAAAATAAGATCAGGATGGACATGAGGGAGTATGTTAACTATGTTGTCCCCTATTTACAATTAATTATAAGTATAAGAGCCCAATGTTAACCCAGAAACACTACTGAGCCTTTACCAGTCATGCTTTGAATGCTTTATCCAACCTAGTTTGTCTCCTTAAAAGTACCAGAAACTTTGCTCAAACATTACATGTATTTTTCATCGTGTTCAATAATTTTAAAATGAATTCATATTCAGGTTTACTGTTTGGTCAAGGGTATGCCCATGTATTTACCTTCAGAGCAAGCGCTCAAAAACTAAAGCTGCACAGCCCTCTCGGTGAAAAATGCAAAGGCTTATCTTGTTTATGGGAGATGCATTCTCATGAACTTTTAATGCTTTTGCAAGCTTCCACCTTCCTATTTCACCCCAACCTCACAACACAGCAGATTTGTTTCAATCATAGTAGATAGTTTGGAATACTATCCAATACAAGATGATCGTCATTCTGACTACAAAAGATCTTCTGTAGATGTTTGTCCAAAATAAACACTAATCGACTTGGGCTGGCCATTTCAGAAAATCTAGTCATTGCTATAAGTCTCTAATGCCAAGGGAATTAAGTGGAGGAAACAATTTATCAATGAAAATCAGTGATTATGTTACCAAGCACCTGAATATCCTCACTCCATCCTAATACTGAAAACATACCAGTCCTTAGTCATTAATGCTCTCCATGTTGAGAAAATGAGTGTTCATTTATTAATTCTCAACTATGTTCTAATCAGTGTAGGGGATGGTTTTCCCAAGTGTCCTTAGCTGATTCTGCTCCCACTCTAAGCTCTGGAGACCTCACTTCGATCGTTCTATAAGGATGGAAAGTTTTTCTGGGTATAGTGGTATGGGTTGACTTCTGTGCTCTCTTAGCATCTGCAGTACAACTGACCACATCATTCTGCTTTTTATAGCCTCCATTGAAAAGTCAGATGACAAAAGTTCAGTCTTTGGGGCACGAGATATTTTCATAAAATCAGTACAAAGTCAGACTTCCACAATCATGGCAGTAGTTAAGGAGACCCATCAAGCTGGAGCTCTGCATTTGGCATTGGGCCTGAAGCTTTTGCAGGCTGTTGGGCTGGTGTTCAGTCAAGACGGGCATGAGGGAAGGAGAGCCTCAGCTGTTGTTGCTTATATGCTTACACTTTTGTGTCTAGGCATCTGAGTTTGTGGTAATTAAAGGCCTAGATGCTTATTTAAAAGTTCTTCTTATTTGTATATGTGTTTGGTTCCTTTGTTTCTGTTTTCTCTTTTGTCTTCTGGCTAGTGTGGCCTGAGGTTCTTCAAGGCATCTCCACACGACTTGTGGGAAAAACTTCTGGTGGCCAGACTGGCTTCTGTTCCAGTAGGGGGACTCTCCCCAAGTTGGGCATGGACAATTTGTTTGTTTGTTTGTTTGTTTGTTTGTTTTTTGAGCTGAAGACCGAACCCAAAACCTTGTGCTTGCTAGGCAAGTGCTCTACCACTGAGCTAAATCCCCAACTCTGGGCATGGACATTTTGATGCAGAGGTGATTGAGATTGTGGATATGGTGTGGGTTGGGTCACCAAAATGTGGGATAGTAAAGACGATAACCACTAACATGGACTATTTACAGTCTTCTGTGCTCTCTTATTGAGTAGATAATCACCCACAGTGTTGTGGACCTGGGGTACTATGGTCTTGAGTGTTGGGGATGGTCAATAGCATTTTGTGGACAGGGACAGTGGGGGAGAATCAAGGATGACCTACCTGGAATTCTGGGAGTCATTGTGGTCCTTGGTAGAGCTGGGAGAATCTGACCCAGTTGTGCCTGCAATATTGTAGAAAAGAGATTGTAAAAGTGGGTATAGTGAGGGCTGGCATTAAGAGAATGAAAGACCTGGGGGGTTCACCATGTAAGTGTCCTATATAGATTGTTGTTGGCAGGCATGTTAAATGGTAGTGACCTATTAATAAGTGTAGGGTTGTGTTGAATCATTGACTTGCTTAGTCACTGGTACTTTATCTGTGGTGAATAGTCATTTGTTCAACTGCTCATGAAAGGTTCACACAATGTTCAAAATACATTTGGCAACAATAAAACTTTTCTAAAGAGTCAATTAGCATAAATTGAGTAAATTTTCAAAGTAAATGTATTCAGATGCTTCTTACAGTGCTTCCCAAGTTGCACTATGTGCCTGTGTTGTAGCCTTTACTATAAACCCACATCAAGTGTAATTTGCATCACATGTTCCATCAAACCATGCATGCTATTTGACTAACTGCAGATCCTCACCTTTCCCTCCACTCCACCAACCCCAATCTCACAATCTTTTCCCTACCTCAGCAGCATGCTACCTGATGTGGACTCATTTCTCTACCTCTGACCCTGTAGCTAGTGGAACACAGAAATCTTCCCCTTCTAACTTCCCTCTTACCACTCATTGCATTAACACAGTCCCAAATTCCAGGAGGCATTTCCTGGATACTCACAGCCCACTCCAGCCAGAGAAAAATAAAAGCTATCTGCAAATGGTTACCTTTCCTTCAGCTCCACAGAAAATACAATGCCATGTCATAAACCCAGGTCTGTAGCTGACTACTTGCTTCATCTAGCCACATCAACTTCTCCAGTGGATCACAGAGATCTTCCCCTTTTCCATTCTCTATACTTTTTAATCCCAGTCATGCAACCTGAACAACTATACCTATGAAACACCCAGTACACTGTGGCCAAAGAAGCTGACTGGCTATCTAAACCTATAGCTAGGGGAACTTTCATGGTACCTACCTAAGCCCCTTGCTTATGGGTGATAATTATGTAGCTGAGTCTGTTTGTAGCCCTTGCAGTGGGACCAAGATCTGTCCCTGGTACATGAGATGAATTTGTAACATATACCCTATGGTGGGATTAGTCACTCAGCCTTGATGCAGGGGGAAAGAACATTGTCTTGCCTCAACTTGGTTTGCCATGCATTGTTGACTCCCATTGGAGGCCTTACCCTTTCTGAGGAGTAGATAGGGTGGAAGAAAGAAGATGTGGAGAGGGAACAGAATGAATGTAGGGAGAGGCAATTGTGGATGGTAAAAAACAAATAATTGTTAAAAAAGAAATTGGAGAGGGATATACATTTTCTCCACACTTCTTGAAATTCGTCCTTAATCTTAGCAAGTACAAGAAGAAATGGTAAACATTAAATACAGAAATAAAGGAAGAAATATGCCCACTGGTACGACACAACTTTAAACCCAGCATTCAGGAGGCAGATCTCTGTGTCATCTCTGTTAACCTACTCTATATAGGTAGTTGAGGTATACCAGCAATACATTGTGAGTGAGTCCCTGTTTCAAGAAAACTACAACAAAAAGGAATATTTCTACGTAATCATATTGTATAGAAAGATAGAGGCCATGTGATTTTGATTCAGAACTCAATTCTGAACAAAGGATGCAAAGTGAGTATGCAACAATCAACAGTTGTCTAAACCAGAATATAGATCACTATCACCAGGTTTTGGTTATACATAGTTTTTGTATTATAAACTAAAAGAAATCCTTTAATTAACTTAAACTATCTAACTTTTATTCCAGTTTCCCAAATACTTGCACCCTTTGTAAGGCACTTTGACCTCAGGAAACATTCCACCTAAAGCTCTGTACATACCAACCCGGCACTTCTTCACCACAAATGCACCAGGCTCTGCATATTTAGCTGTTTTTTCTTTGTACTCTGTTTGTCATGCTTTGCAGTGCTATTTATTGGAGCTCATGTTTGCTGTCAGAGGTTTGAAGAGATATTTCCCATGTTTCCAATATTCATTTATCCTAGCTCGCTGTACTCCTCCCGTGTTTAAACACTCGCCATAAGCAAACTGAGGAGGAAAGGTTGATTAGAATCATGGATTAAAATAAAAAGAAGACAATGTAGAAATCTAGAGACTGCAACAAAACTCTGAAGGAACACTGATCACTGTTTTGCTCTGCTTGATCTCTCAAATAACCCTGAATAGAGACAGCAATGCCCTCAGTGGACTGGGCACTCCTACAACAATTACCCATCAATAAAATGCATAAATAATATTACAACAGGCTAGTTTTTGGAGAGAAATATTTTAGTTAGGGTTTTCTCTAATTTTTCAATGGGCTTTCTGTCTAGGTGATGAAAATTAACTAGAAAAATCAGTTTGTACTCTGTGGTGTTTGCCCACAGCAAACAACCCTTTTTTATTCCTAAATTCCTAAGATTGGGAAGCTGCTCAACTTTACATCAAATTGTTTTCATACCTTTGCTTGTTGGGCATTTTAAAACATACTCATTTTGGGCATTACAAACACTCATTTGGTGTATGTAAAATAAGCTTATCAATGGTTCAACATGCTAATGTCATATAGTTATGGAACGAGTAGGTCAAAGTCCTGATAGCAGCATATGTCTGATTTTCCTCAGATGCCACCCTCTGTGTGCAGTGCTGATTGTGGTCCTGGATTCAGAAAATTCTTGCAGGAGGAAATTGCAGCCTGCTGTTTTGATTGCACCCCCTGCCCAGAAAATGAAGTTTTTAATGAGACAAGTAAGTGTTTGCTGCTGAGATAAATCCTTCACATAGATCATCTTCTCCCAAACACACTTGGATGATCAAAGGTTCTAAAAGAGCACTGCACAAATAAAGAATATCACTTTCCCAAGTTAGTTTTTATAGGACTATTAATATTAACAATGTCACTTTAAGTAACATGTTATGTCATGACATACATCTTTGACTCATTGAAAATCCATTGTATGTGACCTTTTCTCAAAGAAACATTTGATAATCAAACTATAAAATGAGGGAATTCTGCACTATGTCTTAACTAGTGACAAATCTTCTTTGGAAATACATGTAGATTAGATTCTAGTCATGAATCTTTAATATTTTTTTCTATTTCCATGTCTGTATGAGTGCTTACATAAATTTATAGGTACCATGTACATGAAGTAAATCAATGGAGAAAATACTAGTGTATCAGATCCATTGAACACTTTTATGTAGGTACTAGAAACCCAATCTAAGTCCTTTGTAAGATTAATGAAGAATGGAAATATTCACTTGTAATATTATAAGAAACTGTCAAGTATGATAAAGAAGATTTCAAACAATATCCAGAGAGCCCTATTTTCAAAGGTTCAGTGTGATTTGAAATATAGGTAATTGTGGATAAATATTGGCACATAATGTAAAAGTATTGAGTCCTATAGTCAATTTGTTTATATACAGCACACAGTTAATAAATGTCAAAAAGTAGGATATTAAAATGGTTTTGTATGAAAGCAATTAGCCACAGTTATTCAAATGGTGTTGTCACCTACACAGCCCATGTTAGTTAAATGATTATTTGTTTAGAGTTGGTTACAGAAAAATGGCAGACACATAGGCTTTCTCTCCTATTGCCAGTCATCCTTTATAATGAAAGACATTAAAGGACATTTATGGCCATTAAGATAATTCAGAAATCAAATCCCTTGCTACTAAGACTGCTGATGAATTAATCCCTAGGAACCATATAGTAGGAAGAGGTTTCCAACACCTAGAGGTCATGTTCTGATCTCTATGCACTCACACATACCGCATACTCTAATTTAATTATACAAACTGTAATGAAATTTGTTTAAATACAAAATTATATAAGAGTAAAGGGTATTTATAACAATAAATACAGCAACAATTAACCAAAAATATTTTATCATTTCTTTAATTATGGTTATGTATGTGGTTTTGTGTACACAATTGCAGGTGCACATGAGAAGCAACCAAGGTCCCTGTAGTTAGAATTATATCCAGTTTGAGAAAGCCAAGATGGGTTCTTGGAACTGAATAGAGTTCTTCTGCAAGAGCAGTACATTTTCCTCACAACTGAGACCACATTCCATTCCACTAAACAAATTAACTAAATACACGCGTCCATATATGCATTGTTCTAGATAAAAAGACTTGAAATCAAGAAGCACATCATCAATTATCCAATGATTCAAAGCAAGTGTAGCCTCATTTCATAAACTTTCCTTGGTGGAGATCACAATTAATGATGGGGTACTATTCCTCACAACAAATCTTCGGTGCTATCACTCTTGTTTGAATTTTCTTTATTTTATTGTGCTCATGGTATTGTATCAATATCTAACTCACACTCGAGTACACTAAAATAATCTGACACTCACACAGATGGAAATTAGTGAAGGAGGAAAGTGCTTGTCTATTCCCAAAGATGATGGAATCAAGAGGTAGCTCATTTAAATGATAAGTATATACAGAGGTTTCTACCTTCAGTATAGGGTTACTGCATCTTATGAACAAGACTCAGGGATAAAGCTTTCCTAATGCCAGATTGGGATACAACTGAGGACATATTTATTTGATTTATTTAATTTTTGCATTTTAAAACATAAAAATTATATTTATGTAACAATGTTTTCTAATTCTCGTCCTCCTATTTTCCTCATATAAACACAACCACTCTCATATTTGAGCTCTGTTGTTATTTTTACATGTAGACACACATATACATACACACACACACACACACACACACACACACACACACACACACACACACAACTTACTGATCCTGAAGGGACTTTAGTGAGGCTGATTATGGAAAATATGGCCATTCCCCAATTCCCTTTGCCTTGCTAAAATCCATTAGAGTCCTGTGATAGTTTGAATTAAATTGGTCTCATCAGAGGGTATAGTCTTGGAGAAAGTGTCGTCTTATTGGAGGAAGTGTGTCATTATAGATGCAGACTTCCATGCCCCTTAAATGCTTAAGCCACACACAATGAGACTACTTTCTTTATGTTATCG